CCCTGACGCTGTCCCCCACTCTCTCACAAACTGTCCCTGGCACTGTCCCCCACGCTGTCCCCACCTGTCCAACAGTGTCCCCCAGGCTGTCTCCACCTGTCCCTGACACTGTCCCCCATGCTGTCCCCACCTGTCCCTGATACTGTCCCCTATGCTGTCCCCAGCTGTCCCTGACACTGTCCCCCACACTGTCATAAACTGTCCATGACATTGTCCCCCGCTGTGTCCCCAGCTGTCTCTGACACTGTGCCCCAGGCTGTACCCACCTGTCCAACAGTGTCCCCCATGCTGTCTCCACATGTCCCTGATGCTGTCCGTCATCCCTGACACTGTCCCCCATGCTGTCCCCACCTGTCCCTGACACTGTCCCCAATGCTGTCCCCACCTTTCCCTGATGCTGTCCCCCACACTGTCCCCACCTATCCCCAACACTATCCCCCATGCTCTCCCTACCTGTCCCCGACCCTGTCCAACACACTGTGCCCACCAGTCCCAGACACTGTAGGCCACACTATCCCCACCTGTCCCCAACACTGTCCCCATGCTGTTTCCTCCTGTCCCTGACACTGTCCCCATGCTATCTTCTCCTGTCTCCTCCTATCCCTGACACTGTCCCCCATGCTGTCCCTACCTGTCCCCAACACTGTCCCCCATGCTGTTCCCTCCTCTCCCTGATAGTGTCCCCTACACTGTCCCCACCTGTCCCCGACACTGTCCTCCATGCTGTCCCCAACACTGTCCCCCATGCTGTCCCCACTTGTCCCAAACACTGTCCCCTCCTCTCCCTGTGTCCCCCACACTGTCCCCACCTGTCCCCACTGTCCTCCACACTGTCCCCCATCCCCGACAATGTCCCCCATGCTGTTTCCTCCTGTCCCCTCCTGTCCCCAACACTGTCACCCATGCTGTCCCCACCTGTCCCCCACAGTCTCCACCTATCCCTGACACTGTCTCCCACTCTGTCCCCTAAAATCCCTGACACTGTCCCCCATGCTGTCCTCAACACTGTCCCCCATGCTGTCCCCACCTGTCCCCAACACTGTCCCCTCCTCTCCCTGACAGTGTCCCCCACACTGTCCCCACCTGTCCCCAACACTGTCCCCCATGCTGTCCCCACCTGTCCCCACTGTCCTCCACACTGTCCCCCATCCCCGACAATGTCCCCCAC